TGGGTGTTGAGTGCTCACTCTCCTCCAGACCCCGAAAGGTGCTGCCCATGTGACACAGAGCTATCATTCTGGCCTGTAGAAGCTAGCATACTCTCCGAGGTACAATTTGGCAGTCAAGTTTCTATCACTTAATGGAGATAATTCTGAATCCCAAGAGGCTGTGCAGCCTTGACTTAGGGGGTACACTGGGGCCCAGCTAGGCAGCTCTGTCCTTGCTGTACAGGGACCCGAGACAGGCATAAGGATACTATTCTGGCTGGGTGGTGATGACAGCACACCTTTAATCCCAGCACTCGGGAGGCAGAGCCAGGCAGGTCTCTGTGAGTTCGAGGCCAGCCTGGTCTACAGAGTGAGATCCAGGACAGGCACCAAAACTACAACGAGAAACCCTGTCTTGAAAACAAAACAAAACAAAACAAACAAACAAAAAAGAATATAATTCTTTTTCTGGTGGTCTTCTGTTTGGGAAAACATACGAGTATTTTCTAACTTCAGAGACATGGCCATCTCCAGTCACCTTTCTAGTCCGTGTCCTGTCCTTCAGCAGCCTGACTAACCTCTATCTAAAAAAGCAGCATATGCACCTTCCAACCCCGCCCCCCCCCCCAAGCCTGGAAGCTGTGTGCACCTCAGGGCCATCTGGAGAGCAGGGCTGAGTGAGTAATGAAATCTCCTCCCTGCAGGAAGACAGGCAAGTTTTATTACAGATCCTATCTCAACTCAGAGGGCTGGGACACTCCCGTGATTGAGTTAATCCTGTCACCGCGTAAATCAATAGGAAACTCACAGGAGGCGATTTGATTTAGGATGTTCATTTGGGCAAGCTGGTCTTCTACAGCCACGCTGTGGCCCAGGTACTTCTACAACAAGCAGAAAGTTTAGTCCCAACGGACCAGCCTTGTTAATCAAATAAAGTCGGATCCCTCCGCGGCGTACAAAACTCAGATGCGTTTTCATCTCCTCTCAGTTCAGTATGCTAAATCCCTGAATCTAAACAAATTATTATGGAAAACCCATATCCCTGCGTGTCAAGGTGACTGCTGTGAAGGGGGACCCCTCCTGGGAGCTCTGAGGTGCTCTGTAGCATCTAGACTACAAGCAGCATGCAGGGTGTTCAAGCAGGCCATGCTCTTGAAGTACAGCACAGGATCCAGGATGAGGCAGAGACAGGCTGGCCCATGAGGGCCAGAAAGGGGACTCAGGCTGTCCAGGTGAATGTCTGAAAAGGAACAGGAGTCCCCTGACTCCACTCTCCTCCATCCAGTGGTTTCTCAGAGGACAGAGGCAGGCTGGCGGCTCTGGGTACTGCTGTTGTCCGACAGGTGTGGCCTGTTCTCCTCTAGGGCTGGCCACTTGGTGTGATGGCCTCACATCTTTGCAGCAGGCAGAGCGCCAGGGAGCACCCAGGCCTTGACCCAGGGCCTTGTGTTTTGCAACATAGGGTGGATTTGGCTGGGGACAGCGGGGTCAGTCATGGTCTGGGGAAGAAGAGGGAAGGCCCCAGGTGCTAAGAGGGGCCCTTGGCAGGAGTCCTGTTAGCATGAATTTGGCTTGTCCTTGCTGAGCCTCTCCGCATACTTCCTTCCCTTCTAACCTTCATTAGGGTGACTCGTGCTTGTAGAAAGGAAGAATCATGTGGGATATAAAACCCAAGGACTCCTGAAAGGGATGTTGGAAAGGGCTTCAGGTGGCCCTGGGTAGATCCTGCCCTCTGTCTACCCTGTATTCCTCTCGCTTCTGTGGGATCTACTCGGCTATAGACTCAGGCAAGTGAACCTCCAAATGGCCGCAGAACGGGAACCAGCTGTTCTATGAACCTGAGCATTGGTGAAGCGGCTTCCTTCCTGCCTCAAGGCTTTCTCTGCCTTGCTTTGTTGGATTTTGTTTCCCGTTTCCCTTCCTGCACTAATCAGGCTGAAGGTTTGCTTTCTGCGTGGGGTCATCTGGGACCAATGGGTCCTCCAAGGATGGCAGCCATCCTAGCCTCTCATCATGACTTGTTCTCGGTGTGAACACAATTCTCCAGGCTGCTCCAGGAGGGAGAGTGAGGATGAGTCAACTCACTTTCCTACTGACTGGTCCTAGCTCAGTGGGTACTTTTGAGAGTGTACACAATCTAGTGAACGCCAACCACGTGGCAGGCCCTGGGCTCATCCAAACAAACATTATTGTCCGCTGATTGCAAGGGAAGAGCTGACATCCTCAAAAGAGCCAGATGGGTAGATGCTATTAGTACCCCCATCTTACAGGCCAGCAAGGACAGAAAGGTGCCCAAGATCACACAGACACGAAGTGGTCGGTCAGCCACAGGGTTCACCTGCCTAGCCTTCCTAGCTAGGCAGCAACTTCAGCCCTGTATGGACGCTGTGTTCCCAATACTCTCGCGGACTCCAGCTAAGTTCGCCACATGCCCTTTGTCCATTCAATATGGTCTTCAGGTCAGGCCAGGTCCTGGAACACCCCAGTGTTTCCCTGGCATCTCCCCCCCATCCCCAAGATCCGGCACATTTGCAAGTTCACTGCCAAAAGCTAAGTTGAGCAAGGCTGTCTAGCCTTGGGGACCCCAGCAGGTGAGTTCAGCCTCCAGGGGCGCAACCAGTAGAAATGAGCCGACCTAAGTCAACTCCTCGGGGATATGGGAAACTCACGTGGGATGCCCAGGGCCCTCCCGGTTCCTAGCAGAACGTGCGGGGCCGAGCCTGCCACTCCGGGCAGCGTCGTGTCCCGAGAGAGCCCCCAAAGTCTCGGGTCTCCCCTGCGCCGGCCCCCACGGCTGCTGGCGGGCCGGGAGACAGCCGCACGAGCGCGGGCCCA